CTAAAAATACAAAAATTAGCTGGGCGTGGTTGTGCGCACCTGTAATCCCAGCTACTCAGGAGGCTGAGGCAGGAAAATCACTTGAACCCAGGAGGCAGAGGTGGCAGTGGGCCGAGATCGCGCCACTGCACTCCAGCCTGGCGACAGAGTGAGACTCTGTCAAAAAACAAAAACAAACAAAAAAAAACAACTCAGAAGTCAGGTACGATAGTCCTCACCTGTAATCCCAGTGACTCAGGAGGCTGAGTTGGGGAGAATGCTTGAGGCCAGGAGCCAGCCAGGGCTTATCTCTTAAAAACAACAACAACAACAACAACAACAACAAAACCAGCAACAAACCACCTCAGAGACAGACCCATATATCTATGGAACTTAATATATGATAGAGATGGTAACAAACACACAGGGATGGGACAGATTGCTTAATAGATGGTGATGGGGCATCTGGCTCATCACATAGAGAAAAATAAAATTGTAGCTCTATCTCACACCATATACAAGGACGGACTCCACATGAATTAAAGACCTAAATGTGGCCAGGCGCGGTGGCTCATGCCTGTAATCTTAGCAATTTGGGAGGCCGAGGCGGGGGAATCACTTGAGGCCAGGAGTTCAAGACCAGCCTGGCCAACATGGTGAAAACCTGTCTCTACTAAAAATGCAAAAATTCGCCAGGCATGGTGGCACACGCCTGTAATCCTAGCTACTCAGCAGGCTGAGGCAGGAGAATCGCTTGAACCCAGGAGGCGGAGGTTGCAGTGAACCGAGATAGTGCCATTGTACTCCAGCCTGGGCAACAAGAGCAAAACTCTGTCCAAAAAAAAAAAAAGAAAGAAAGAAAAAAGAAACTGTAGGGGAACATCTTGTGACCTGGGGAAGAGAATTATTTCTTTAAAAGCACAGACCAGACCGGGCGTGGCAGCTCACGCCTGTAATCCCAGCACTTTGGGAGGCCAAGGCAGGCGGATCATGAAGTCAGGAGTTTGAGACCAGCCTGACCAACATGGTGAAACCTTGTCTCTACAAAAATGCAAAAATTAGCTGGGCATAGTGGTGCATGCCTGTAATCCCAGCTAATCAGAAGGCTAAGGCAGGAGAATCACTTGAACCTGGGAGGCAGAGGTTGCAGTGAGCTGCGATTGCGTCACTGCACTCCAGCCTGAACGACAGAGCAAGACTCCGTCTCCAAAAAAAGCACAGACCATAGGGGGAAAAATGATTATATCAAAATTATGGATCTTTATTCAACTAAGTTTACCGTTTACAAAGTTAATAACACAAATGCCAGAGCTGGAGAGGCTATTTCCAACACCTAAGGGATTAATAATGAGACTATGGAGGAATCCCTGACAATCAACAGGAAGATAAATATGGGAATTACCCCAACAGGAATATGGATGTACTGTATTCTGTATGTTAGCAAATTTGGCCTGTGTTGGGCAAATTCATTCTATCGATAAGAAATTTAGCCTCTGAGGACAAACCTATTCTTCAATGATGTGGCATTCAGAAATGAAAAATCTGTCAAATCCATTTATTGTAAAAGTGGTCAAGACACTGAAGACCAAATTGTGAACAGTGGGCTCAGACACTACTTGTTTGGGATAAGTCTATTGTGTATTGTGAAAGTCCCTTCTGTGAATAAAGGACTCAGTTACTTTTTTTTTTTTTTTGAGACAGAGTCTCGCTCTGTTGCCCAAGCTGGAGTGCAGTGGCATGATCTCAGCTCACTGCAACCTCTGCCTCCCGGGTTCAAGTGATTATCCTGCCTCAGCCTCCCGAGTAGCTGGGACTACAAGTGCCTACCACCACGCCCGGCTAATTATTATTATTATTATTTTTTGTATTAGTAGAGACAGGGTTTCACCATATTGGCCAGGGTGGTCTCAAACTCCTGACCTTGTGATCTGCCTGCCTCGGCCTCCCAAAGTGCTGGAATTACAGGCGTGCGCCACCACCCCCGGCAAGGGCTCAGTTACTTTCGAAGAGAGCAAAAATTGCTCTAAGGACTGGGATTTACAACCTCTGAAGATCGCAGCATCCTGTTTTGTTTTGTTTTGTTTTCACCGAGGCTGGAGTGCAATGGTGTGGTCTCGGCTCTCTGCAACCTCCACCTGCCGGGTTCCAGCGATTTTCCCGCCTCAGCCTCCCGAGTAGGTGGGACTACAGGCGCGTGCCACCACACCTGGCTGGTTTTTTTTGTTGTTGTTTTTTGGGGTTTTTTTTTTGTATTTTCAGTAGAGACGGGGTTTCACCATGTTCGCCAGGCTGGTCTCGAACTCCTGACCTCGTGATCCGCCCGTTTCAGCCTCCCAAAGTGCTGGGATTACAGGCGTGAGCCACCGCACCCGGCCAGCATCCTGTTTTGTAAAAGCCATCTCAGGCAGTCTATTGGTGGGAAAATTAAGGGGCTGGCTTCACGGGGGGCAGTCAGACAAGGGTGAGGGCTGAAGTCAGAGATGAGAAGGAATGACGCCAGGGAAGAATGTCGCATGACAGGCGGCTAGATGTTGAGCACAGAGGAGAAAGAGTAGGAGTCAGGGTCAAACCTTAAAACGTATGGTCTGACATCACGGACTGTGAAGGGTGATGACATCAGTGACGTGGGGGATAAAATGTCGGGCCTTTAAAGGGTACGAGGTTAAAGAACTAGAAGGTGAAGGAGGTTGACATCAGAGAATGGCAGGGACCTAGAGGAAGACGATTGCGATGGTGAGGAAGACATCAGATCCAGCGGGGGAAACGATGGCAAGGACGGGAGGATGATGTCAGGGACGGCAAGTAGTATGAGAGTGAGAAGGTTCCTGTGTGGAAGGGATCAAGGCAGCTCAGCCGGTTGTGGGGGGGATGCTGACGTTTAGAGTGCACCATCTGTGCAAAAGTCGACCCCATTTCCGGAAACACCCCATTTCGCAGAGAATACTGCTCCCTTCACTTTGCTGTCCCTTCCTCTCCCCCGCCACTCCGCCCCTGCTAGCCTCAGCCAATCAGCATGCACGCCGGGACGCGCAAGGGGAACGTTCCGGGACGTTCTTGCTACGTACTCTTTATCAATCGTCTTCCCGCGCAGACCAGTCCTTGTTTTCTGTGCTCCTCCGAGCTCGCCGTCTGTCCGGGTTTTTTACGTTTTAATTTCCAGGTAAGTTGCGTATGGCCTGCGGAACGGCGGCTCCTCGCCACACACGCGCCGCGCCGGCCGAGACCGGGGGATAGTGAGTGGGGAGAGTAATGGCCGCTGACACGTAGGCTTGGCTTTCTCTGGGGCGGGCGGGTCCCGTGCTGGGAGGTGAACATTTCGGTTGGTGGGAGGCCAGCGCGCTGTATCTGAGTGTGAGGCCCCTCGGGAGGGACTGGGTGCCGTCGGTGGTGGCAGTGACCACGCGACAGCGGATACTTGCTTTCCTTATCCCACGTGGCCGCCGCCATCTTGTTCTGCCGGCGTTGAGGGAACGCAAGGATGTTCTGGGCTTGCGCAGTGACACAAAATGACGGGCGTGGCGGCTGTGGATGTGTGAGCATGCGCAATGGTGGCCCCCTAATGGTGGCTGCGCTGAGCCAGCTCCGCAGATTACTACCTTGTTGGCCTTCTTTCCCAGCTTCTCTGTAGTTACCCATGTTTTGTTCCTCCTTTTTTTTTTTTTTTTTTTTTTTTTGAGACGGAGTCTCGCTCTGTCACCCATGCTGGAGTGCAGTGGCGCGATCTCGGCTCACTGCAAGCTCTGCCTCCTGGGTTCACGCCATTTTCCTGCCTCAGCCTCCCGAGTAGCTGGGGTACAGGCGCCCGCCACCACGCCCGGCTAATTTTTTTGTATTTTTAGTAGAGACGGGCTGTCACTGTGTTAGCCAGGATGGTCTCAGTTTCCTGACCTTGTGATCCGCCCGCCTCGGCCTCCAAAAGTGCTGAGATTACAGGCGTGACCCACCGCGCCCAGCCATTTTGTTCCTTTTTCTTATTTTCTGTACTTCTCTCCGCCTTCTCTCGCTGTTTTCTCACGTCTCCATTTTGTTCCTCCTTCCTGCCACCATTCTTCATGTTCTTCCCACAGGACTTGAACTGCCATGTCCTCTGAAGAAGGAAAGCTTTTCGTGGGAGGGCTCAACTTTAACACCGACGAGCAAGCGCTGGAAGACCACTTCAGCAGTTTCGGACCTATCTCTGAGGGTGAGACGGGCCAGACTCTCAATGAGGGTTGGTGAGAGAAAGTCTGGGATCCTTGCATTTCAAGGAGTATTAACCGAAAAGTTAGGACCCACGCTTCCATGTTCTTTTTCTTCTTAAGCCTATGGTGTCCACTAAGGATGAGGGGAACCGTCTTCGGGATTGGTGGGAGGGCTCCGTTTTCCCTACCTACCGCCATGTCCTTTTCGGACCACCCTTTGCTACTTAACCTTTGTGGTGCTGACTGGTCCACATCGCTCCTCCTCCTCTCTCTCTCTCACAGTGGTCGTTGTCAAGGACCGGGAGACTCAGCGGTCCAGGGGTTTTGGTTTCATCACCTTCACCAACCCAGAGCATGCTTCAGTTGCCATGAGAGCCATGAACGGAGAGGTGGGGCCTCCTATCTGCAGAGGGACCTTGTCCCCATCTGCGGCTTCCTTCATTTTTGTTTTTCCTTCTGTGTCTGCTCGGGGCAGCGTGGCCACCAAGCCCCGCAGTGCCCACTCACAGGAGCATGACTGCCTTTTGTTCTAGGGGGTGGAGGGCAGCGGCAGACAGAGCCTGGCCGCCTGGGAGGCGACGACTGGTCCTGCATGAGGCCGAGAAGCCACCTGTGGATGGTTGACCTGCCTTGGGCTTAGGTAGTAGAGTCTGCAGACCTGTGGGCCTGGCCCGGAGAGGACCTCGTGAGTCTTCTGACATGGACTCTGAAGCCTCAAACCAAGAGAGGTGTCTGTCTAGCCCTGATAGTCGGGCAGCTTAGAGGAGTGGGGAGGAGAACTCAGCCTGAGTTCAGTCAAGATGTAAGTAGTAGCAAGGGGAACATGGTGCGTTCAGGTCATTTTGTGTGGGATTCTATAGCTCCTGATGAAACCATTCTGGGGTAAAGGAGCTTATTCTGGAACATGGCACCCAGAACCTGGTGCCCAGCAGGAATTTTTGGCCTCTTTTGCCCACTTGCCCTTGCCTGCTCTTCCCTCACCACTGCCCTGACTGCCAACCCATCCTCCTTGTGTCTCCCACACTTAGTCCCTGGATGGTCGTCAGATCCGTGTGGATCATGCAGGCAAGTCTGCTCGGGGAACCAGAGGAGGTGGCTTTGGGGCCCATGGGCGTGGTCGCAGCTACTCTAGAGGTGAGTGCAGTGATAGTTTTGTTCATGGGGTGAGAGGGAGAGTTGCCTAGGTGAGGACAACTGCCATTTAAATATTTTTCTGTTCTAGGTGGTGGGGACCAGGGCTATGGGAGTGGCAGGTATTATGACAGTAGACCTGGAGGGTATGGATATGGATATGGACGTTCCAGAGACTATAATGGCAGGTGGGTAGCCAAGGGGCTGGGATGTTCTGCTATTGATTCCCTCTCCTTAAGAACTCAGCGCCTGGGTTTTCATGCATACCACATCTTGCTGTTACTAATGTGTGCCTAAAACGAGTATGAAATTCAGCGTTTTGAGTTAATTGTGTGGTCATATGGTTGTAACATGGTAAAGTATACATATGTTGTGCTGCGTGGGTTATATAACTATATTGCTTTAACGTGTATTATGATTTAAATATTGCATATACATTGTATGCCATAAAACTGTTTACTGTGATACTCATGCTTAACATACCGTGTTTTTGATATTTAAGGTTTATGTTATGACACATACTATAAAACATGACCCATATAATTAATGACAGTGGTGTATAATGCAGTCCCAGAAAACTGTGTGTGTGTGTGTGTTTTTTTTTTTTTCTCCCAGAAACCAGGGTGGTTATGACCGCTACTCAGGAGGAAATTACAGAGACAATTATGACAACTGAAATGAGACATGCACATAATGTAGGTGAGACTTGGATATCGGCATTGAGTAAACCTGTTTGTCACGCTCTGTCATGACTGTCTCACCTTTTCTGGCAAGACTGCTCTGCATTTCTGCTGCCCTCATACCTCATTCAGCCAACCTACCAAACACCATTCCTAGGCCTTCCTTGCTCTCAGGTGCATGTCAGAGCACGTTTGCTAGGGGGTGGAATCTGAAAACCCATCTCCTGTAATCCTCTAGTCTTGTGTGGGATGGAGGAAATGAAGGGGTGTCCCTGTTGTCCAACCCTCAGCATCTGCATCAGCTCTAGGAGGTGAGCATGTTGTCAGCTGTTCCTTCATGACATCACAATTCTCCCCCTCTTGCTGTTCTCAGATACACAAGGAATAATTTCTGATCCAGGATCGTCCTTCCAAATGGCTGTATTTATAAAGGTTTTTGGAGCTGCACTGAAGCATCTTATTTTATAGCATATCAACCTTTTGTTTTTAAATTGACCTGCCAAGGTAGTTAAAGATCTTTAACAGTTCCATCTTTTTAAAAATTTTTTCTGCCTATTTAAAGACAAATTATGGAACGTTTGTAGAGCCTGAGTGTTTTTCTTTTTACCAGTTTTTTAGTTAGACCTCTCAGGATCATTGGAGCTAGCAATAATTGATTCTGGCAAGTTTGGCCAGACTGGTTTCAGAAAATTAATGTGTATCCAGGACATTTAAAAAACCTGTACACAGTGTTTATTGTGGTTAGGAAGCAATTTCCAAACATACCTATAAGAAATGTGCGTCAAGCCAGCCTGACCAACATGGTGAAACCCCATCTGTACTAAAGATAAAAAAATTAGTCCTGCGTGGTGGCGTACACCTCTAATCCCAGCTACTCGGGAGGCTGAGGCAGGAGAATCGCTGGAACCCCGGAGGCGGAGGTTGCAGTGAGTCGAGATCGCGCCACTGTACTCCAGCCTGGGCAACAGAGCGAGACGCCATCTCAAAAAAAAAGAAAAGTGTATCAATAACATGATTATCCAGGGGTATTTTCTAATTCAGATAATCAAACTGATTATATAGAAGAGTTGCTTTAAAATGTTTGCAAATGTCTTTTTTTTTTTTTTTTTTTAATACTGGAAGAAAAAATATTCTGTTGTGTCTCATACAGTGCTTAGGATGTCTTTCACAGAGCTTATTAAAAAGATGAAACCTGAAAACCTGCTTTTTTCTTACTCAGCCCACTTTCCAAATTAAAAATGGGGGCAGAGGTGGGCCGATCACCTGAGGTCAGGAGTTCGAGACCAGCTTGGCCAACATGGTGAAACCCCCATCTCTACTAAAAATATAAAAGCAGGGCGTGGTGGCAGGTGCATGTAATCCCAGCTACTGAGGAGGCTGAGGCAGGAGAATTGCTTGAACCCAGGAGGTGGAGGTTGCAGTGAGCTGAGATTATGCCATTGCACTCCAGCTTGGGTGACAGAACAAGACTCTGTCTCAGAAAATAATGGGGGCACATCAGTGAGAGGGAGGCTTGGAGAATATTTGGTTGATGGGTGGGCAGGGACTGCAAGGGGGTTAGGTGTACGTTGAGGCCTGAGGCCGGCTGGAATTGGGTTTCCTAAGCTGGTCTCTTAGCTTAGTCCCGTTGTCTAATCATTGGGCTTGAATCTCCCTAGCCTCTCTGAGCGTTAGATGGGCACTGTCCTCACAGGATTGTTCTGAGACCATAAGCACCTGATCTCATGGCGTGAGCTAATCCCTATCATAAATAGTGGTACCAGTTTATTCCTTCCCCTGAAATGATGGGGGTTGGGGAGAGGTACAGTGGACTCATCTTTGTGTATGAGGGCCATGAGAGAGGCCTGGTTTGAAAACAATGCTAAGAGCTCATATACCAAGATTTATGTGGGGCTCTTCTACTTCCCAGGTATTTGGGTGAGTCATTTTACTTCAGCCTCATGCCATTTTACATTTTCTGGGGAGGGTTAGATTAATTGGCATATAAAGCCACTGAGAAGAGTTGGCAAAGCTTTCAGTCACGGAGATTTGATCTTTTTTGGTGTGTGTGTGTCTTGGGTGGTAAGTTGGTGGTGATTTTGTAATTCTAGCTGGTCTTAGTTCCTCAGTTCTGCTCCCTTTAGTCATGATTCTTTCTAGTGGCTGTATTGAGGCCCCATAGGCGTTATCCCTCCATTTGTTCTAGTTTGGAACAGAGATATCTGTTCATGGCTTTCACCTGGCTAATACTGAGCCAAGTTACCACCAGGTCGCAAATTCCAGGACGTTATTGTCCTGAGCTGCCTATTCCCTTGCTGGTGCGTTGTATTGTGAGTCTCAGTCCTGGAGGCCTGGCTCCTGAGTTTCCCAGCTAGTTGGGACAGGCCCCAATATCCCTTTTTCCTGTAACCCAGTCATGAATTTGCTTTGGCAGGTGGATGGAGACTCGGGAACTTCCACCTCACCCACTAAACCAGGCCTAGGCTGTGGGGCATTGTGGCTAAGCCCACCAGGTGGATACTTGGTCTGAGGAGGCATCCTATTCTGGGCCTTTGGGGAGCTAAGGTAGTGAGAATTGGCAGGAGGACTGTGAATGCCTTCTAGGTCGGGGAATTGGAGGGGTCCTCTGCTCCCCACCTCTCAGGACAGCAATGTACCTCTCACCCCCAGTGTCAGCTGAGGTAG